GAAGCTCCGACAACCTGTCCAGCGACTGCAGACATAACCCAAAGCCTGTCAGTCAGTTCGGCTCAGAGCAGTCCACTCCAGTCAGTCAGAACCTTGTCCGTCTGGGACGAAGAAGACGACACCGAAGACGACGACGCATTTGGTCTGGACAGGTTGATTACTGTTAAAATTATCACTGATTGTGATAAGCGATAGCTGTGAGCACGTCAAGACCACGAAGTCGACGAATTTTGATGCTGCTGATGCTGCTTCTGCGGCTGTAGCTGATGCTGATGGGGCTACCCAATAATGTTATGCCGCCCGATGAGTTTCGGGACTGGGCTGTTTGCACTCGCCTCTGGGGCCCCAAATGTTGAGGCCCATAACGAATTGTTACAAACCTAAATGGAGCAGCTCGTTAGTCCAACAAGTTAATGTGCATGAGTTGGGAGCCAGTGTGTCTTTTGTGATATGTTAATAAGCATTTGCCACTTGTTTCTTTTGTGTGTTTGGTAGGCACACAAATACAAATTTTACGAGCCAAGTAGCGTTTACCCAAGTGTCTGGCTTGGCGCAAAGCAACAAGTGTTTGCGCACACCTACAACCGGGAGAGAAAGTTTCGGCATGCATTAGATCCGATAATTTCCAGTGTGTAACCCAGAAATGCATTTCCAACTCTCAGCGTGGGAAATTTCGAATAGCTTTTTATTGAGCTGCTCTTTTGTCTCACACTCCTTTGGCAAATTATATAAAATTTCGCAAGTTCGCAAGAAGTTCGCAGTGTTTAAGATCTTAAATGTAGAGAAAGATGACGGCTACTGCTGCCTTACGCGATCTACGTAAATCTCAGAAAAAAAAGCTGAAACATAAAACTAAAACAACAAAACGCGTCAGCCAAACAAAATAATAATAAAAAGTAAAATCAATTTTAAAACGAAAACAAAACTGTAACAAAAAAGCGGGCCATGGCATACAAAATGCCATCATAAAATTTAAATAAAAAATTGATATTATTGATTAAGATCGACGAAACATAATATTAAAAACACAACACAACATGAGGAGTCAAAATAAAGGCAAGTGAGATGTGCTGTAAATAGTAGACTAAGAAATGCTCTAAAAAAGTTACAGTTGGAATTGAAAATATGGTATGCATAAGGTAATATTATTAATTAATATAATATAGTCAGCTTCTTGCACTCTGAGTACAATGAATAAAACAGTCTTATAAGAAGTGTAATAGGCTTTGAAGAAGTAAATTATAACTTTTAAAGTAAAAAATGTTTACAAAAAGTTGAAAGAGTTGCAAGTTGCAACAGCAAGCTTTATAAAATAATCTCTTCTAATCTCAGATTATTTTATAAGTATAGGGTATAGAAGAAGAGCGTAACTTCTTGCTGAGGGAGTGACATTATTAATTTATTTTAATTGCAGCTGCGGCTTTTAGATAAAAGCCGCCATTGATTGAATGAATAGAGAGTCAGCCATGTTAAATCGCAGCTCAATCCTCAAGCTGATCGAGCGATGCTTTACGATGCCCATTGGCATTGAGTCGCTGAGCATTTTGTTAGAAACTATCAAAAGATTCATAGCTATTTGTATTGGGTAGCACGTCGCGCTTGCGGGCTTAATGCATGGCTTGATATATCTTTATGTGCGGGGATTTGTAACATTGTGTTAAAACTCATTTCGATGCGGTCGAGCTGTGAATGGATCAGCTACGGAGGCAACGGGCAGTACCCATTGAAGTGTAGTGAGTCACAGCAAATCACACATTGCGTATGCGCGATATTTGGAAATTTGAACATTTTTCCGTAGAAGTAATTAGTAAGTTGAATAAAGATTAGCTTTAACTGTAAGTTGCCTTCTGCCAGCTGCAAGAATATGTGGTAAACAATGTTTACTGTGTGGAGCTTGTGGCTAGCTACGGCCCCCAAAGTATTTGCTTGTCTCGCCGGGCAGCCCACTTGGGCCACATTTGCATATGAGTTCATTTAGCAGTTTAAGAACTTGGCACAAATAAACTGCATGCTCTATGTTTAGGCCACGAAACGTGTGCTAATTTACATGAGATCGCATCGGAGACCACATCCTCAAGCACATCCACATCGACATCTCTGTTACACTGGGTGTGCTCCCAAAAAAATAAGGCAGCAAAATTAAATCAAAAGCGCGATACGCCAACGTGGACCCGCCGCCAGCCCACTCGATGATGATGAAGAGTCTATCGACGCCTGGAAATCGCTATCAAGAGTGCGCATACATATTCGAGTTAGTCCCCGTGCACTCAGAAAAAAATATATGTTTCTTAAAACAAGAACTCTATCAATTGAAGTTGGGTTAGATATAGGAGAGCTTAGCTTTGATTGAAGTCACATTGGATGATTAGAACTAGACTGATTTTAAATAAAATCCGTATGTTGGAAGCGTTTCAAAATGGAAGACGTGCCAGCATATGGCAGAAATAACGAAATGTATGGACTTCAGTTGTGAAATTGAAGAATTTAAACGCATTTGAAGAGCGAATAAGAATTTAAAGTAACCTGTGCTTTTTCTGAGTGCATCTTGCAGGCGTTGCCGTGGTATAGTCTGGCCTGGCTCTGGGCCGCATTTTGGCTGGCCAAGTGGCAAGTGCAGATTGCCAGCATTAGATGAAATATTTATATTGTCTATATGAATTGAGCTTGCGATCTGCCACTGCAGCGAGCCAAGCAAAAGTACTCGCAGCAGGACGCCAGCCATATAGCACTAACTCGATGGGCCAGCAGTCGCGCTCTCCACGGCTGCTCGCATCAGGTAGCTGAAGCGCACACAAGTGTCCAGCAACGACAGAGATATGAGCCCATTCTGCAGTCACGTTTTATTTAAATATATGCGCGTGCGGGCAGCTGTATCCCCGTTGCCAGTTGCCGATTCCCGCTGCCCTGCAGTCTGTCGCCTGTTCCAGTAGCTTTAGCTGCTGCACGGGCCGCCTTTGGGGGTGCCGATGAGTTTTGCCATTCGATGTCTTTGGCTACTGTATGTTCGTTTGAGATATGAAAAAGTAGCTCAAATGTAGATGGGCCGAACTGTACTGTACTTGCGGCTAATTTAATGCCAGTCAATTGGCCTATAGTTTCACATATTCGATTGCCTGTCATCTTGGCCCTGGGGGCGACAAGTGTACTCAAGTTATGAGTCAGGATCTTTAATTGTCTAGCGCTTTGCTCGATTTCATGTACCGAAATTTGAAATTTCAATTACCCGAACATCACGCGCAATCAACAGCTCGCCTAGAGATTACCCTCTGCATGATTAATAACCAGCTGAAGCGAGTCGATTCCCAAACATTTCTTCCTGGTGCATCGCGTGATGCTGCGCTGGCTACCCTCAAAAAACAGTTGCCACACCAAATTGCAATTGTTTTTCTTCATTTTTTAGGGAAAATGCTCATGAAAGTCTGGAAACTATTTCATATTGTTTACAATGGAAATAAAATGGCAAAAAGATGCATAAAAATAATGTTTATGTTAGCGTGAAAGCAATTAGATAGCATATTATGGAGCATTATTAGCTAGTAATAATGTGTGATATACTTTTTTATTATATATTTCAGGGTATAAAAGAGGTGTACCCTTAAATTATAATTTTAAGAGCATTTGGGATTCGTTAGCACTTCTTTCGTTGCTGGCCTTAGTTTATTTGCCAAGGCGGCTCTTTGACACAGTAGTTAACCGGGCACATAATAATAATGGAGCACTTCGGGCCCCTCTCCATTCACTGCACAAGATGCAAAAAAGAGTGAAAAAAAAACAGGTAGCTGCATCTCGCCGGCAATTGCAGTCTCCCATTACATTTATTATTTATTAATAACATAATTTATTGTTTCATGGCATTCATGTGAACTTCATGAGCTTACTGTGCCTGCAACTTGTACCTACAAGTGCCTGGGTGGGGGGCAGAGCAGGGCAATGGGGGTGTAAGCTCTGGCTGTCGACTCAAACTGCAGCTTCAGGTTCGATTGCCAAACGGGGCATTAGGTCGTCGCCAATTGTTAGACGAAAAATTGGCGTTACTTTGGCGCTGCGCGACGTTCGCTTCTTGGCAACTTTTGGCCAGGCTCCCTCCTATTGCCGCTTGCGAGTAAATTGCGCAAAAGATTCTTAAAGTTAACGGCCCTTCATAAATTTTGTTATGAAATATGTGCGCGCTGGCTTAATATGCCAGCCAGCTCCCAGTCCAAGCAGCCAACCGGCTGGAAAACTGGCGTCGTCGTCTTTTGTCGCCGACATCGTCGTCGTCTGCTTGGTGTTCAGTTTTCCCTCGAGAAAAGTTCTCAGCTTGGCCGGCATTTTCCCTCATTGTGCAACGGTTGCTGCTGTTGGCTGGCAAGTGGCATGACAATAAAAATTTACGATTGCTTTTATGAATTTACGAGGTTTTTGTGCGGTCTGCCGTGGCGTTGCTCACCGCCAACCCACTGGCCTCCCCCGCCTGTCTTTTGCACGCGCTGTAATTTGACGCTAATGAGTGTCAAAGTTGATAGTTTGATTTTGGCAAATGGCGTAATTGTGCACCACCACGAGCATTCAAGTGTTGGCTGGGCTTACGCCCACTCTTTGCGAGAAAATTTCATTCGTCCAAACACTCTTGTTGAGTGGTTAGCCTAAAGGATATTAGACTGAATATAATAAAGTACAGACTTCTATAACTTGTTTCTGCCAACAGATTTTAATTTATTCGCTGAAAATGGGAACACCTTCATATAAATACTTAATTCTATCGGGAGTATCGATGCTTGCTACTATCGGGTATAAATATACACCGAGAACATATGTATGTAGTTATTGGGTTTATGTGTAACTGGGATTGTTTCCCAAGCTTACCAGGGCCCAAATGTTAGGAAAGGGCTAGGTTCTTCCGTACCAAATTGTTTTAATTTACAATTTAGTATGGAGGTCGGTTAAGGTATCAAAAAGTGAATAATTCTTGATATTTGCTTACTGGACGAGAACGTACATATCAAGTTTGACGTACCAGATTTTTAATCTTCGATCTGCCAAGGATAGCTGTTTTTTCTAGCTTAGTTGACATTTCTCTCGCCTAAACTTATATTTTATTATAATCCCAGAGATATCTCCCTGTACGTCTTGTGATCAGAATGCTGTTCAGTCAATTGTAGACGCTTTCACTGCTACTCAACGCTTAAAATCAAATTTATGACTGGCCAGGAAAGGAGCTAAAGAAAGAAGAGGAAGAGCTTCTCTGCACGGCCTGCTGAACTCTGGCCTGGGCAAAAATTTTCACGCCGCTGCCACATACTGCCAATTTAGTCGGCATTGAGGCACTGCATAATTTCACCTACAGAAGAAATGAAGAACCGTATCTCTGGGCATTGTGGATGCAATGGCCAACATCGGCGTCATTGTCGGAGGCACGCACGCAACTTTCATTGAATTAAACCCTAAAAATATGAAGCTTATCACAAATCAGGCAGCAATGGGACTTCATCACCTACTTTAAATGTTGGCTACCGCATGAATCGCGACTCGGGTTGACCTAAATACGGCATGGCCGGGGCGCGTGGCCAAAGAGGTGTGGTGGAAGGGGTATGTCCAAACCGCGGCCGACAGTCGAAGATGAACTAAAAATGCAATATACAAAATATGTGCCGCCACAGCCGCCAAAAACAATTTACCAATTTATGCTGAACTGCGGTTCGATGTTGAATCCTTTAAAGCAACACGATCACGGTTCCAGCAGCTCTTCTCATGCGCATGTGCATCCTCAACAGAGTGCAGGTCCCAGACAAGATATTCGCCGCGAGACGACTTCACTGACTTGGCAAATCACTAAATTTATATGTTTTCTGATTCAAAATATTTATTGCCAAACCGCACACAAATCCCAAGCAACTGCAACTTGCAAGTGGCCCCAAAAAAGGGCAGCGGCAAATCCAAGTGTTCCGCTCAAATTGACTGAAAAATGGGAGGAGGACATTAAAATTTACCAAATGTATTTATTACGGCACCAAAATACAACAACAGCCCGAAACTGATGCGTCGACCGCAGCCCACATACTGTACTGTGAAATCCAGCCGAAGACTAACTCTTTCCCTCTGACTCCCAGACTCAATCACAGTCGCAGTCGCAGTCTGGAGAGTCGGCACTTGGCGGCGGCATGTTTGCAGATTGATTTGCTGCGCCCGCAGATACCCCGAAGATACCCCAAGCCAAACACTTGCCAGAAACAGCAAACAAAGATGCTGAAATCAATTGTAAGGTGAAAAAAGGCATTTAGTGTGAGCATCAGCCATCAGACGTACACTCGAAAAACTGCACGTGAGCTATGTCATAACAAAAAAAAATATTTGTTTTTAAATATTTAATTCAAAATAGTATTTGTGCAGATTAGAAAATGTATACGTAAATCCTGTAGGACTGATTTAGTGACATGAGCGATGGAGGAAATACAATGGGAATGTGTGATATTTTTTCAAAAGTTCTTGTGCCTGGTAACGCACATCCTCAATTGAAATTGCAGTATAAAATATTGCATTTGCCTGCCCCACAACAGGCCTTGCCAACTTCGAACTTCGAGGCTTGACACACAATTAACTTGTTTTTTTGGGTCAAGTTCAAAAGAATCGTAGTTATATCGTTATAAGCTAAGTTTGTTTGGTTATAATTAATTCGCTCTAGCATTGTTTATTTTTATTCGCCTTACGTAAAAATTAGATTATATATTCTTCACACTTTTCGGCAATAGCTAGTTGGAATTCCCATTTGTTTGAATATTTTTAATATTCTAAAACCTACTGGACAAACTACAATGTATAAAGCAAGGCTGTTATTGTTTCTAATACAACTCCTGTCACTACTGCCATGGAGGGCAAATGCTGAATGCTGTCCTACGGGTAAAGCTTATTATAGGATGAAACCGAATCTGCGTAAGCATTGTTCGGATTTCCCTGGAGGCAGTTTGGATTCAGATGGGAGCCTACGTGACTGCGTGTCTGATCTCTGTGGTGGTTTAAGAAAGCCAACGCCGTGTTGCGGAATAGGAATATGCAATATTTTCTGCTGCAATTGTGATCAGGGATGTTGGAGCAAACGGTGGAGAGTTCAACGAGAATTTTATTCAAAATATGGCGAATTCATAGAGATCAAATGAAAAGAAATATGTAAAATGAGAAATATAATTTGTACGCATTTCTATACCGTTTACCAAAGATACTGAATTCAATTGTAAGGTAAAAAAAGGCATTTAGTGTGAGCATCGGCCATCAGACGTACACTCGAAAAAATTCACTTGAACTATTCCATAACAGAAAATAATATTAAAATTTAAATATATAATTCAGAAAAGTATATGTGCAGATCAGAAAATTTTTACGTAAATTCTGCAGGACTGATTTGGTGACATGAGCGATTGTGGACTAAGTATGTGATTATTTTTACAAAAATTCTTGTGTCAATTGAAATTGCAGTAAAAAATATTGCATTTGCCTGCCCCACAACAGGCCATGCCAACTTTAAACCTTGAGGCTTGATACGCAACTAGTTTGTTTTTGTGTAAAGCTCAAAAGAATTGTTTCGTTTATTTGCCTTACGTAACTTATTTTTTTTTTTTTTTTAACATAATTATTATTTATTTTATTTAAAATCTGCCCCCTTTTTGGGCAATAATTAAATGTTTTCTTTGACCTATGGCAGTTATGTATTGCGTGTATCTTATGAGATTATATTTTCTTCACACTTTTCAGCAATAGCTAGTTAGATTTCCTTTTTGTTTGAATAATTTTAATATTTTAAAACCTACTGGACAAACTACAATGCATAAAGCAAGGGTGTTATTTTTCCTAATACAACTCCTGTCACTACTGCCATGGAGGGCAAATGCTGAATGCTGTCGATATAGTGTAGCTCATTATTTGTTAAAATCCAATTCGCGTAAGGATTGTGGGGATTTCCCTGGAGGCAAGCATTCACAATTTCAGGGCCCACGAAAATGCGAATCTGAACTCTGTGGTGGTTTAAGAAAGCCAACGCCTTGTTGCGGGGTAGAAAGATGCAACATTTTCTGCTGCAATTGTGATCGGGGATGTTGGAAAGGACTGTGGAGACTTGAAATAGATTTTGAATTAAAATATGCCAAATACATAGAATTGTGAAATATGAGAAATAAAATTTGTACACATTTTTATAGCGTTTATTAGCTTTTCAAATAGTGCTTCAAACAAAGATGCTGAAAGCAATTGTATGGTAAAAAATGAATTTACTGTGAGCATCAGTTTGTGCAGTCTGTAGCGAGTTCGAACCCTACCGAGGAAACTATTTTTTTTTTTGGGTGGTGTGGCTGTTGAGTAGAGGCGAGAGCAAGTTATGCGGTCAGTTGCGAGTTCGAATCCTGCCAAGGGAACTTTTTTTTTATTAATTTTATTTATCTTTATTACTACTTAAGCAAACGAGCGCGTAGCGCGAGCTGCATTTGGTGTTGGAAGAAGAGGGTTCAGGGTATCCCCTAGTCGGAAGCTCCGGACTAGAACCTCTTACTTATTAAAAATATAGCTGTGCCGGGCAAAGCCGGGAAATCCCAGTTGTTATTTTACGTTAAATTGACACTTAAATAGGTTTTATACAATTATGCTTATCGTTTAGATTTTGTTCAGTGTAGTAGCTATGAGTTCCTGGCCAAGACGAACTCACAGCGCGCTACAAGTGGTCGCTTAGACAATTTGGCATACAACTAGATTCAAGCCAAAGCCGAGGATCGAAATTTATTTCGATGCCCTGCAGCTGAATTATTTAAACCGACGAATTCAATTAGAGACAGTGACTTGGTTTTTGCGCGATAATCCAATGCAGGATCTGGAGAGTTAGGTGCTGAGGAGATCTTGCGGGAGGTTAAAGTTGGGGCAAGACAAGCTAAACGCGTTCGTTGAATTTGCGTTGGCGCTGAGGGCGAGTCTGAGCTGCGGGTGCGGCCTCAACGGCATCACGCAGATCTTTTGAGGAGGCGTCGATCGAAACAAGTGGAACTTTTCTTCTTATGCATTTTTTTTTAATTTTTGATTTCTTCTTCTTTCACCTTTGCCGCAGCCTCTGTAAGCTACAGGATGCGCGCTTTAATGTTTTGTTAGTTCTTTTAATTTGATTTAATTATATGCGCGGGCAGCGAAACTCCCTTTCAGTCGTCTGCGGGGGGCGTATTTATTGAGGCAATGCCCACTTTTCGCTGCCACAATATTTCCACCTCCTAAATGTGACGTATTTTGGGTACGGCTCGCTGTTGAAAAATCATCGCTTTCAACTTTTATATTATTGTGTGTGATCACTTTTTTCGTTGTTAGAGCTCGCATTGTTGCTTTGTTGTTTGATCTTAGGAGTGGCTTGTTAAATTTCACTTGCATGTCAAGGCAGAGCTTTTTGTGTAGTTTGAATTTTAGTGTGAGGTGTTGGGCGTCGATTTATGCGCTTTTCACTTGTCTGCCTTTTAGGGAGGAGCAACTTTTAGAAGAGAAATCGCTTCGAGAGTAAAATTCAAATGCCAATGTTTGAGTGGGAGATTGCATAATGTGGGCATATTCTTGAGATTGTTTTATAAAATAGTCGCTGGTAAAGTATTTCGTGAGCTTTGAAACACAAGCCAGTCTAGAAGACCAAACACAAATAATTAATTCAGAAATTTCTGTACTAACTTGACAAACTGTTTCATATGGGCATATTTGTGAACAAACCCCATAAAAGGTTGGTTGCAAAATAAATATGTAGCAGGCAAAAGCAGACATCTCCGTCCCCCTAAGTAAATCCAACTCCATCTGCTCGTCTCTGAGAGGTTATAAATTGGTGTACAAGTTGTATGCACGCAGATTTATTCACGATATAGCGATGTCTTTGGTGGACATCCAATAGGACTATGTGATAATTTTTCAAAAATTCTTATGCCACATCCCCAATTAACATCGCAGTAAAAAATATTGCATTCCGCTGCCCCCCAACAGGTCTTGACAACCTTTAAGCCTTGATACGCTTGATACGCAATTAGCTTGTTTTTTTTTGTGTCAAGTTTAATGGAACTGTAGTTATATCGGGGTCTCGTACATAAGTTAAGTTTGTTTTCCTATAATTCATTCGCTTCAGCATTGTTTATATTTATTCGCCTTACGTAACAAATTAGATTGTATTTTCTTCACACTTTTCGTCAATAGCTAGTTGGAATTCCCTTTTGTTTGAATAATTATAATATTCTAAAACATACTGGACAAACTACAATGTATAAGGCAATGCTGTCATTGTTTCTAATACTACTCCTGTCACTACTGCCATGGAGGGCAAATGCTGAATGCTGTGCTAAGGTTGATGTTATTTATATGAAGAACCCAAATCTGAATTACAAATGTTCGGATTTCCCTGGAGGCGGTTTACTTAACTTTTGGGATAAACGTACTTGCGTATCTAAACTCTGTGGTGGCTTAAGAAAGCCAACGCCCTGTTGCGGGGTAGGGAAATGCAATATTTTCTGCTGCAATTGTAATCGGGGATGTTGGAAAGGAGAGCATAAAGTTAAAAAAGATTTTTGGTCAATATATGGTCAATTCATTAAGTCGGCATGAAAAGAAATATGTAAAATGAGAAATAAACTTTGTACACATTTTTATTTTGCTTATAGGGTATTCAAATAGTGTTTCAAATAAAGACGCTGAAATCAATTGTAAGGTAAAACAAGAAAGAGGCTCTAGTCGGGAGTTCCCGACTAGTGGATACCCTGAACCCTCTTCTACCAACACCAACTGCAGCTCGCGCTACGCAATCCTTTGCTTTCGAAGTAATAAAAATAAATTTAAAAAAAAAGTCCCCTCTGTGGGGGTTCGACCTCGTAACAGGCCACACAACTTGCCACCGCCTCTATTCAACAGCCACACCAATAACTGGGTATTAATGAGAAAAAAACGGATTAAAATAGCAGCACAGAAAACAATACAATCGCAATTGCAATGCTGTTAACCGAATTCAATAAAGACGCGCATGAATGTGTGTGTGTACATGTATACAGAATTTCTTCAATTTGCACTTGCTGCCCCAAACTCGTGGCCAGCCAAAATACGTTTTCTTTAATAACTTTTATGTTCCTCAACCGATTGTGCTATAAAACATTTGTCAAAAAGTTAGTTGCATTTAAATTGTGGCTTATATGGGTGGGCAACATAAATTGGTTTATTTACTTGATTTATAGCTATGATGTAGAAGCGAGGAGAGGGTGATAGCTATAAAATGAAAGATGCTTGATATATATATATATATATTGTTTTAGAAGCTAGTTCTTATAAATTACGAGAGTTGTTCAAAAAACAGGTTCTCGATATCGGTCAAGTTATCAAGTGTTGGAAACAAACTTGTACCGCGCGGGCACTAGGAAGACCTATTATACATTCCAATTTTCAAGTCTCTAGCTGTTACAGGCTCTGAGCTCCATCCGTTCATACACGGACAGACAGACGGACATGGCTAAATCGACTTGGCTATTGATGCTGATGAAGAATATATATACTTTATGGAGACGGAGATGCTTCTTCTGCCTGTTACACACATTTGCACAAATACATTATACCCATTTTTCCCATTTTTAATGGCTTCAGGGTATAAAAAGGCATTTAGTGTGAGCATCAGCCATCAAACGTACACGTTATAACCGGAAAAATTATTTAATTTTAAATATATAATTCGGAAAACAATATGTGCTGCAGATAATAAATATGAGAATTATACAAAATTGTGTAAAACTAATCCAAGTGATGATTGATCCAATGATTTTTATGGGTGATAAACAAAGACTGCGGAAAACGTGTTAGAGGAGTAAGATCAGAAAATATATACGTAAATCCTGCAGGACTGATTTGGTGGACATCCTAGGTCGAAGTTTTTTTAAATCAAAAATTCTTGTGCATGTAAATTGCAGTATAAAACATTTAATTTGCCTGCACAACAACAGGCCTTGACAACCTTTAACCCTTCAGGCTTGATCGCAATTAGCTTGTTTTTTTGTGTCAAGCTCAATAGAATTGTAGTTATGCCGGGGTCTCGTACATAAGTTAAGTTTGTTTTCCTATAATTCATTCGCTTCAGCATTGTTTATATTTATTTGCCTTACGTAACAAATTAGATTGTATTTTCTTCACACTTTTCGGCAATAGCTAGTTGGAATTCCCTTTTGTTTGAATAATTATAATATTCTAAAACCTACTGGACAAACTACAATGTATAAGGCAATGCTGTCATTGTTTCTAATACTACTCCTGTCACTACTGCCATGGAGGGCAAATGCTGAATGCTGTGCTAAGGTTGAAATTTTTTATAAGATGAAACCGAGTCTGCAAGCGAAATGTTCGGATTTCGCTGGTGGCAGTGCACTTCGATTTTGGCATAAACATGATTGCGTATCTAAACTCTGTGGTGGCTTACGAGAGGCAACGCCCTGTTGCGGGATAGAAAAATGCAATATTTTCTGCTGCAATTGTGATCGGGGATGTTGGCCAAGAGGGGAAACAATTAAGGCAGATTTTTGGTCAATATATGGCAAACTCATAACAAAGTTGGTATGAAAAGAAATATGTAAAATGAGAAATAAAGTTTGTACACCAGAAATAAAGTTTCTATACCGTTTATTGGGTGTTCAAATATTGTTTCAAACAAAGATGCTGGAATCAATTGTAAGGTATAACAGGTAAGAGGATACCCTGAACCCTCTTCTACTAACACAAAATGCAACTGGCGCTACTGGCTCGTTTGCTATAGCAGTAAAAAATAAATTAAAAACAAGTAAGAGGGTTTAGTAGTAATAAAATAAAATTAGAAGAAGTTCCCTCGGTAGGATTCGAACTCGTAACAGACCACACTACTTGCCGCCTAACTATGTCATAACAGAAAATAATATTTAATCTTATTCAAAATTGTGTAAAACTAATCCAAATGATGACTGACGTCATTACCCTTATTTTTGCCGATGGAAAACAAAGACTGTGGTAAAGGTGTTGGAGGAGTAAGATCAGAAAACGGATACGTAAATCCTGTAGGACCGATTTGGTGGCATGAGCGATGGTGGAAATCCAATGGGACTGTGTGATATTTTTTCAAAAATTCGTGTGCCAGGTTCCACACATCTCCAATTCAAATTGCAGTACAAATTATTGCATTTGCCTGCCCCACAACAGGCATTGGCAACTTTAAACCTTGAGGCTTTATTCACAACTAGTTTGTTTTTTTTTCCTGTCAAGTTCAAAAGAATCGTAGTTATAACGTTATAAGTTAAGTTTGTTTGCTTATAATTAATTCGCTTCAGCATTGTTTATTTTTATTCGTCTTACGTAAAAATAAGATTATATATTCTTCACACTTTTCGGCAATAGCTAGTTGGCATTTCCTTTTGTTTGAACATTTTTAATATTCTAAAACCTACTGGACAAACTACAATGTACAATGCATGGCTGTTATTGTTTCTAATACAATTCCTGTCACTACTGCCATGGAGGGCAACTGCTGAATGCTGTAATAGGGTTGACGTTTTTTATAAGATGAAACCGAATCTGCAAGCGAATTGTACGGATTTCCCTGGAGGCAGTGTACTTCAATTTTGGCACAAACATGATTGCGTATCTAAGCTCTGTGGTGGTTTAAGAGCGGCAACGCCCTGTTGCGGGATAGGAAAATGCAATATTTTCTGCTGCAATTGTGATCAGGGATGTTGGAAAAGAGGAGAAACAATTAAGACAGATTTTTGGTCAATATATGGTCATATCATATTAAAGTCGATTTGAAAAGAAACATGAAAAATGAGAAATAAAATTGTACACATTTTTATACCTTTTATTAGGTATTCAAATAGTGTTTCAAACATCGATTTTTTCAACATCGAACCCCCGCTAAACGCCGAATGAATGCATAAGATTTATAATGTTGAAACAAAGATTTTTATAAAGTAATGTCGTTAATTGAACAAATTAATTGAACGGTAAAGCTAAACTTCGTGATGCATCATATAAATAAAATTTAAATTATTAACACTTGAAATGCAGTAAACATTCAAATATCTACCTTTAAAATCACAACGGAATTAAAAAAAAAAATTAAGAGAAATTTAACACAGGCGGGCGAATCGAAATAGCTGATCGCGTTAAACCTTTTAGTGTGATAATAATTTCTTTACTTTTGTTGGGCACACTGACGGCGTGAACTGCTGATCTATGAAATATAAATCCGTATTAGGAATCCCACTTCAGTTCTAGTGCAACTATATAAAAGGGACCGAAGGATGCACATCCAGTCCTGTGAAATTTATATATTCTTAGTCGGTCAACTTTCATTCTTTTTATTCGATCTGTCTGTATGCAAACATTTTAGAAAAAAGGATTAATTTGTTTTTAATTAGTGGCTAACCATAAGTTCACAGAAGCGATAAGTATATAGGTTTTTATGCTAAATTCTGCAGGCAGATTAACTACTATTATACACATATCCATAAATAAATAAATAGCATTCAGGGCTTTGGTCAATACACACTTTTTAAATTAATCACTGCAAATTTCATAAGGATCGGATTACAAATACTCATACAGAGTAATCACAATATACAGGTTTCCAGGTTAAGTTTAAGTTTTCTCCTGTAATCAAGATATATATTTCAGCATTTTCCAAATATGGTTCTAGAACAACACTCTTAACCTTTGAATGGGACCACTAAGCTCATCACGAATGAGCGGCAAAATGATTTATTAACAGCATAAAGTGATCAGCCTCCGATAGTATAACAGATGCAGTAGACAAGTGTAGTTCGGCCGCCCTGCCCCCCACATACACAGCCGTCGACTGGCACTCCCGTCTGCGACGCATATGGGCCACATACCAGAAAAGGCCACTAAACCGCATAACTGTCCATGTCGTTCAGTATCTGAAACGAAAACCCAATTGACGATGACGACGACAGGTGATTAATTGTTTCAGGCGCGTAGACGTTACTTAACGCTGACTCCAAATGAGACTCAAACTCAGAGATTCGTGATGTCAAAG